TTACTGGATTTATCGGTCGAGATGAAATTTACTAGACGTTAGTAATTTTGTTTTTGATCGCTAGCTGTTGAATAACGTATTGCTGTGAGGTACATTATCTAATGAAGACTAGTGTAGTGTTCCTTATATGTGATAAGGGGCAAGCGAGCTGGTGGTACACGGTCTTCTGTGAGGTCGTGGTACATACACGAACAGACCTGCGTGAATGGGCAGCAGCGATGACTGTCGCATGGCCCTACCACAGTAAAAACTCTAACTCTAGCTGTGAATGTACAAAGTCTTGCCTCAATTTTACTTTGTGTGCAAACAGAAGAAAAAAAATCAACATTTGTGTGGTCAACAGCCAAGTCCTAAATTACATACACAAGAAGCGAGTATATTGAAGCGTAATAATATGAGGAGATATAGTTGTGATCTTGGCATCCATATAAAACTTAGTACCATCACTCCTTAATTAACACGCTTTAGTAATCACGGAATAATATTTTTACTATTCAAAAAAATTCAATACATTTTATTGAAATAGACGTTGCGCGTTCTTATGAAACGTCGAAGTTTTCATTAATAATTAATACATAAGTTCGTAAGTAAGTTACCATTACTGCTATCCTCTGCACAGTTTGAACCTTAAAATGTGAACTTTAGTACAGCTTAGCTATGAAGGACGTTGATACAAGTCGAGATACGCGCCGTGAGCTCATCTGCCGCTAAGCTTAGTTGGTGATGCGTCTGCACCTTCTAGAAGTCGCAAGTTCGAATACCGCAGTGTTTGTTCGCGTGTCTACACCAAAAGAAACACAACCGTCGCGTCATAAGCGTCTGAGGCCGCAACCGGTCTAGTTCTGGATCAGTGTCAACGATCAATAAAGCGCAGCGGAGCGGAACTCTCGACCGGCAAGGTCAAGGGCCCCTTAGCGCTTTCTCATCATCTCTCCGCCCAGGATCTGTGTCGAGGATCATCTTCCTTATCGCACCGTCCTGCAACGCGCCGACTCCTTAATGTGTTTACAACCAGCAGGCCCACTCCCGACAGATTCGATTCGGAATAAATCGAATTTGACTCGAATTCATGGCTGTTCGTACCACCGAGTCTGAGGCCAGCGCACAATCGAGTGGTGGCCCTAATTGGAACTAACTAAGACCGAATAATTTTTCGGAAAAAATTAAACTGTTAACATTTTATCTAAAAAAAGATGTTATAGCCGTATACAATTTCAATTTTACTCAATCGATTGAGAATTAAAATTACGCAGACGATTAGTTTCAACCGATCTTCGATGTACCTACGTGGTATTATCTAATTTATCATAGATGGCACCTTAATATAAAAGTTAATAATTTTTATCGGAGAAACCACTGACCTTCAATAAGTGTGTCCTTTAGATTTTGCTTTCCTCTGGCGTCAATCTATCTCCACAATACTTAACAATAATAATAAATTTCTTTATTGTCTTAAAAAGACGTTTACAAAATTATAAGCAAATTAGTGGAAAACACCATAATACTGAATACTAAATAAACTACGGATAAAATAAACAAACTACAAACAAAAAACAATATAAACTTATAATGCAATGTCAATAGCTGGCTCGTGTCACCTCCGTCGAAATTACTCATGAACAGCTACCCCGTTATTTGGATATCAGAGTTTGCATAAAGTATTTCAAAGAACTGTGGTAGGGCCACGCAGCAGGCTCGGCTGTTGTACGAATGGGCAGGCTCGTCCGGGTAAGTACCACCACCTCACAGAAAACCAGCGTAAAATGGAAATATAATACTTTTGCGTTTCGTGTGGTGAGTGAGGTGGCCGGAGCCCAATTTTCAAAAGGTTGTTTATTTATTTATTTATTTATTTATTTATTTATTATCTGCACCAACAGAGTAGACACCATCACAAGTAATAAAAAAGAAACCAAAACACAAGATTGGTGCTACTCCAACTTATCTGGAACCCTTGGGTGTAGCAGTTGGGCGGCGGTATTCAATTAACATCAGGTGAACCGCCTGCGCGCTTGGTAACTTGTCACATAAAATAAAGGATCGAATAAATGTCTGCAATAAAAAGTCACGCGTTAATCTGTCCCAGGTGCGACAACAGACACAGACCCTGTGACGTGTGCAATGCACTAAGACGTCCTTGTCTCGTCTTATCAAACGTATCTCTTATGCAATAAGTCTGAATGGGGTTTCGTGACGCACTTATGCCTAGTGCTCCTACAGACAGCTGGCCCTAGGTTCGATTATTGGTGCCTTTGGGTTTGTGCTGAATAACCATGATTGACAAAACCGAAGAAGCTTACTTTATTTAAACGGATATTTACAGCTTGGTATCCTATAATTTAAATAAACTAATAATAATAAACTAAAACATAATTAGAAATAAACTCGATAATCAGTATAATTAGGGTCATTTACCAGTGTGTAGGTTTCGAGTAAACATAAGAAATTACCACTGATATTTATAAATTTTATTCAATATATAGTCATATATATCAATCAACCAATGAAATGCAAACGACCTAATTCTTTCTTTCCCGTCCCCACGGGCTGTCAACCAAACTCACACCGCATGTACTTTTATCAGTCTTCACCCATTTATCCTGCCGACCCTCTATAGAACTGTTTTAAAACGTTTAACATGCTCTAAAATTCCCGACGACCACTGATCCCTGATCCCAGGACTTCTAAGACACCATCCGTCCTCCCGTTAGGTTCGAACCGGTACGAGTATAATCTTCGGATGCAACTCATTCACGGATACAAATTGCAGTCATCGACGGGCCCAATCGATTGGAGGCGAGAGCCGCGGCAATTAAGCTATCCACGACGCGGCGTAAATCAAACTTGTTCCGCGGACTGGCCTTATTAATCTGTGGGGGGAAGAGCGATTCCTTGCAGCCTTGCTGACTTATCAGTGTAATAAAATACAATAACAACAACGTGTCGAGCCGTACGCGATAGACAGATACTTAATGTCTGTTTTGTGTCAAATAAATCGCCTTCTTTCTTCTGTCTTCTTTCTCCTGCCATTATCCCTACGTGGAGTTGGCAAAACATGTGAATCATGTTGTTAATGGCTAGGTTTATATAACCCAACCAAACTGTCGTTAAGGTCTGTGTTTTTTTTTAATTATAAATACTTTAATGTTTCTTGGTAAAGTATAAAGTATATTTTACTTTTTACTTTAACCCTCATTTGTTTTAACAAATACTTGACCCGTATGAATCGAACCCACGGTCCTAACGTCTTAGCAACTTTAGTTTTAACGTGTTAGTAAGAGTGCACTTAATCTAGTGGGGGAAATGAGCAGGTTCCCTAGAGATGTCCATAGACGCTCGTAGACACAACAAAAAAGCCGGCCAAGTGCGAGTCGGACTCGCGCACGAAGGGTTCCGTACTATTATCTATAAAAACGACAAAGAAAAATAATGCTTGTTGTATGGGAGCCTCACTTAAATATATTTTTATTCCGTTTTTTAATTTGTTGTTATGGCGGCAACAGTAATACGTCATCTGTGAAAATTTCAACTGTCTCACTGTGGGGTTCATAAGATACAGCCTGGTAACAGACGGACAGATAGCGGAGTCTTAGTAATAGGGTCCCATTTTACCCTTTGGATACGGAACCGTAAAAAGGAATGGGTAGCCTTGTCATTTTTAGAGTACGTGGCTCAATGTTGGCTCTACCGACGAGAAGTGATTACTGTCACCATGGCAACACGTATCATGAGCACTTCGGTGTACTGAGAGGCCATGGGACTTCCCCGCAAACGCCCCTCAGTGCAACAGTAATGGCTTCTGCATCACACTGCCTCAGTACATCTTCATTATTCTGTAAGGCCGTGGTACTTCCCGGATTAAATTGGCCCTTTATCAGCGACAGTTGTGCGACTACCGGTTTAAACATTTATTTATTTAAAACAGAGCAACTGTTGAGTTTCTTTCCGGTCTCTACTTAACCCGCTACTTCTGAAACTGCTTTCCGAACTGCTGGTAACTTAGTCAAGAACTTATTCCCGAGGTTCAGGCCAGGCGCCCCGTGCGCCAGGCCACCTCAAGCCCGTCGGAACTGTGAAGGCCCCTAAGGCCAACAGTGTCTCATCCAGCCCAAAAAAAAAGAACTTATTTGTCATTTTTATGTAAAATTCTACTTTTCATAAGAACGCGCAAGCATCTGTATGAATAAAGATATTTTGAAGATCAATTTGAATATTTACAGATTACATCTTGCTTGAGGTAGGGCAATGAAGCATTTTTCGCCATTGCACGAATTGGCGAGTCTGTACGGGGTGTACCACGACCTCACAGAAGACCGGTGTTAAGTGGAAGTAAAGTTTATTTTTTTTATGTGAAAAGTTGCCAAGCGAGCAGAAGGTTCACCTGATGTTTCCATAGGGCCACGCAGCAGCCTCGGCTGTTGCACGAATGGGCTGACCCATCCGGGTAAACACCACGACCTCACAGAAGACCGGCGTAAAGTGGAAGTATAATACTTTCGCGTTTCGTCTGGTGAGTGAGGTGGCCGGAGCCCAATTTTCAAAAGGTTGTCAACGCATCTGGAACCCTCGGGTGTTGCAGGTGTTCATGGGCGGCGGTAATCACTCACCATCAGGTGAGCCTCCTGCTCGCTTGCCCCGTTTCTTCATAAAAAAATCAATTCTCTTAGTAAATTGAAAGTTTTACCCAGAACGAATTAGGTTTGAGATAGACGAAATAAAGATTAAGCAAGCGTACGTGCTATGTTTGTTTCTTAGTTAATATGAATCTGCTATGCGGTGGCCACTTGGAAAAGGGACAGACACTTAACAAACTCGCATTTATAACGTCAACGCGACAGTGAACGGGATCTGTCCTAAATTCCATTCCAATGCCGATCCTATTTCTCTACATGCGCGGGTCTTGGTTACAATTTGTGTGGTAACGTTCAAAGTTACCGAAGACGAAATTGCGTCTTAATTAAGACATGTTGTAAAAATTGACATACTTGTAGACATCGGTGATGGTCGTCGGTGGCACAGTTCCTAAGTCGGAGAGAACCGGCAAGAAACTCTGTGATCTTGCTTTCTCGATCTTGGGTGGGCAAAACATTTTTCACTAAATTGCCTGACTCAATAAAAAGCCATCCATATCTATATTTTAAAAGAGTCTTAGCCAATAGCTTGTAAAACACACATTCTATTCTATTCGATTAAGGATATCTTAGACTACAAAGAGAAGTAATCAGGCTAAAACAAGCCTGACTTTGATGATATTTGAATGCTATTTGTAATGGCTTAACTTGGAGTTTAAAAGCTGTTATACACCACTATATCGTCATCTTGTTAAATCATCATTATTATTGTTATTATATTAACACTAAACAAATTGGAATAGAAAATAATCACGCATGAAACCAAGCTACTATATATAGCTAAGGTCTGGAGGAACCTCGAACCCTTTCATCGTCATCATCATCTCAGCCTGTTTGAGCTCACTGCTGATCCTGAGCCACTTTGAAAGTAGAAATCCAAAAAAGTGCCTAAAGATTTTAACTTTTTTTTACATGTGAGAAAGAGGCAAACGAGCTGGCGATTCACCTGATTTTAAGTGATATCCGCGGCCCATGGACATTTTCAACACCCGTAAGGTTGCAGGTGCATTGCAACTTTTTAATAAAGTGGGCCCCGGCTACCTCACTCACCAGACGAAACGCAGAAGTGTACCTTCTACTTCACGCAGATCTTCCGTGAAGTGGTGGTAATTATGAAAACATTCGCCATTTGTTGTTTTTTAACTTCCATTCTAAGATTAGAAAGTATTCGTTAGGTACACAGCTACAATAAGTTGTTTACATTCCCTATGGCTGTATTTACATTATCTTTTCCGATTCCCACATTCCGATGGCCGCTTTAATAATGGGAAATGTTCGTTCTATTAATACGATCTTGTCTAAATAAAACAATGAATCCGATATCCGGCTATTAAGGCCTTGTGGCATTCGATTCGTCACTTTCCGTAAAACGAATGGACGGTATTGAAATATACTGTAATTTTTCACGTAAATAATTTCGTAAGAATTAAATAAACTACTTATTTAATTTTTACGAAATTATTTTGTAATAAGAATCTAGATATTTACTTTGATCAATTTCATATAAAAACATCTCAAAAGCAAATAATATACACATCAAGAAAAAAAAATTACTCATTAAATATATTTCGTATACGGTGAGATTTATCGTAATTAAATATCTTATTATTAGTGTATGGTCTTCTTATTACATTCGAATTTCGGCCATAGACTACCACTAGCGTCAACAAATTTTCCGTCAGGCTAACAACAACCTTTTTATGTAGCGCGCTGCAGTCTGTGGTCGATGACGTCACCACGGTCGAGTCCCAATCGCCCTTCACGTGTTAGACGGGCGACGATGCATCAAAACCGACCTAATGGCCGAGCAAACGCTTTATGGATCTGCCCTCCATAGGCAATTCAGCGGCGCCTTCACCTTCTACGGCTACATGCATCTTCCTGGTCCAGATCCTGTCTGTCTCATCTCCCTCGAAGCTCTACTCCGGGTTCAAAACTCAGACGAGAAGGCATTGGTCCTTTAAAGGTATTATGACGCCCTCCAAGCTAGATACCTTTGAAAAGTATAACCAAGTTAAGATATTAAGTTATTAGAAATTTTAACGTCTTTTACTTTAGAAAGAAAGAAAGAAAAATTAATTGCACAAATACGGCACATAACGATAGATCAGTTGGAAAATCCTAAACATTTAAAACTAAAATCGTATGAGACTACAGCGCTGGTTTTCAGTGGGCATGTGAATTCAGCGACGTACGGACGTCCACACCGTCTTTGATGGGTCTTTACTTAATTTTAACTAATTTTATAGGATCGTTCACTGTTAGCCTTTAGTAGGTCTTTATAGATGCACGGCCCTGAGGGGAATGGGCAGTAAAGACGCCTAGCCTGAATCTTGTTTATGAGGACTAAGCTCGAGGGCTTCCAACAGAGCTTCGGCTAGGGCCGTCACTAACAGTATTTGTACCTAATTGGTTGTTTTTGCTCTCAATCCGTATACTATTAAAACTACATCGAACGCAGAGCTCGTCAGTTAACTAGAACCCACATGTTAAAATAGCAATAGCAATAGCAATTCTACATGGTAGAACCACGCAACGGTGTTCACTGTTGCACGAATGAGCAGCTCCGTCCGGGTAAGTACCACGACCTGACAGAAGTCCGGCGTAAAGTAGAAGTGTTACACTTCTGCGTTTCGTCTGGTGAGTGAGGTAGCCGGGTCCACTTTGTTTAAAATTGGCAACGCATTTGCAACCCTGGTGTCGCAAATGTCCATGGGCGGCGGTCATCACATACCATCAGGTGAACCGCCAGCTCGTTTGCCGCTTTCTCATGTTAAACAAAAAAAAAACGCAGAAATATCAAGTGAATTTGTAGCAACAAACTTACAACACAAGGATGTCCACCCTTCTCCACTGAAGCGGGAACTTTCCGCTATCCGAGAAATGTTAATTATAAATTCTCTTCGCGAATATTCGCCGACCCGTCTCCGGAACTGGAGCATTCCAGAACAAATTTATAAAAGTGAAGTATGTGAAAACGGCTTCGGAATACATTTTTTCCCATTCCGAAAACATGCCAAAGGCGGACTTTTATCCTGCGATACAAAAAAAATTAAAAAAAAAGTTGAGTAACACCCTATAGATCTCCCACTCTAAGGCCTCCATTGTACATAGTGTATCTGTCCATAGTCCACCACGCGACCCCACTGCGGATTTGCGGACATATCTTCGAAATATTTTTTGTTATCAATTCAAAAATAGTTAGGTTTCCTCATGATGTTTTCCTTCGCCGCTGAGCCCGTGATAAGTCAGCACTTAAAATTAACAATTTCGTTGGCGCTGTCACCTGGATTTGAACTCGGGTTGCTCGAGTACATTAAATTAAAAGCTAGGATCTGGAGGTTCTGAGCTATCACAATATACAAAAGGGACAAAGTAAATGGTGACTCCGTGGCGCAGTTGCCAATGTATTTGGTTTCGCCATCGGTCGCGTGTTCGATTCCCACACGGGACAATTATTTGTGTGACCCACAGACAGTTGTTTCGCATCTGTGTGTATGTCCACGTGAAGTTTATGTTTGTAAAGCGTCCTTACAATACAGGATAATGTAATCCTAAAGTAAGGGCAATGTTTAAAAATAATGAAAGTACTTGACAGAGCAAATAAACTGAATATTTAACCGTGGAGTTTTTCTTGTCCGATCCTCTCTGAACAAAACTTATTTAATAACTGTGATACATTTTGATTTGTCCCAGAAGGTGGCCACAAAATTGGGACAAAAGTTTTGTGATTTGGGCTTAGATTTGTATTCGTATAACGTCGTTTGTGAAACCTCACGTAGCTTTTTATTCCTTATGACCTATACTAATTATTCCTTCCCCCATTATACTAAAATATTCATATACTGGTTTCATTCTTCTTAGTCGTTCCCCCACTGCTGAGGATCGTGGCTCATATTCTGTCTCCATCGCTTCGCTCATATTCTGTCTCCATCGCTTCGCTCATATTCTGTCTCCATCGCTTCGCTCATATTCTGTCTCCATCGCATCGCTCATATTATGTCTCCATCACTTCGCTCATATTACATTGTCTCGATCGCTTCGCTCCGTCGTCTGGCGGAGTGCGGTGCATATGGGGATCTACGTTTTCAGAAATTAGGTCCGCCCACCATTTAGGATTACGGCTTTAGACGTATTCGAGTGTCGCAGTTTCAGTGGTCAGATCCGCATTCTGCACCTGGGCGCGTTCTAATGTTTGTCATAGAGGATCTCCATCTTTTTTTTATTTGTTTATATAAGAAATAAAATTTACAAACCTATTAAACTGATATAAACATCTCATGTGTGGGACGACCCCCCACTAGATGGAGTGACGACCTGTGCAAATGTGCGGGAAGTCGATGGATGCAGGTGGCTCAGGATCGTACTTAGTGGCAGTCTATGGGGGAGGCCTATGTTCAGCAGTGGACTCGAACAGGCTGAAATGATAATGAAATGATGAAACATCTCATACAACTGATGAGAGTTTTACCGTGTAACGGTATCCCCAATCGTGTGTACATAGTTACTATCACAAATTACCATTTAACATAACAAGATGATCTGTTTTCTTATACTGTTAAAAAATAAAAAAAGCTGAAACCTTTTACTGTTTTTCATGTGAGAGGGTAGCAAGGAGGTTCACGTAATGTCAAGTAACACCGCCATGGACGTTTGTAACAGCTTTTAAGACGGTGGCCCCGGTAACCTCACTCTCCAGACCAAATCTAGAAGTATAATACTTCACGTTGTGCTTTCATCATCATCATCATCATTTCAGCCTGTTTGAGTCCACTGCTGAACATGGGCCTCCCCCATTGAATGCCATGACGTACGATCCTGAGCCACCGACTTCCCGCACATTTGCACAGGTCGTCACTCCATCTAGTGGGGGGTCGTCCTACACTGCGATGGCCAGTACGAGGCTGCCACTCGAGAACCTTTCTTCCCCAACCGTTATCGGTTATCGTTGTGCTTTATTCTTTCTAAATTTCAACAGCCTAAATCGTGTTCTACAATATTACCCGTTAAAGTCAAAGACGTGGCGAATATTAGTATTATTTTGGTAATGCAATAAAACGTTCAATAGCTGGAGATGCCGTTTGGCTGTCGATTTTCACGGTACATCTAACGACGCGCGATAAGGTTGTCGCCAGTTTAGGCTTATCGGCGAAGCAACACTCGCCGCCCATAGGCCTCTATACTTATCTAATCATCACAGCATCTTGGTAGAATTTTCGACCTTAAAGCCAGTAAATCATTTTATTATCGGTGGTGGATTCAGAAAAATTACCTCTCGCTTTTCAAACAGACAGGTAAGAGAGCTTTTTCTATAAATTATACAATTAACTTAGTGATGACTGTTGCATTTTCACAGTTGGGGACACATTTAATATACTTACGGCGTTTCTAATAACTAGTTCTTATAATATTCATTTAATCTATGTATATCTGGACCAAACTAGACCTCCTAAGTTTACACGCCACTGGGATTCGAACCTCACCTATCAGTCCTCAAGTGTTACTCTCAACCACTAGGCCACAACAGCCATTGTCAGACTTGACCCGAACGCGCCCGAAAGTACCTCCTTATCTTTCCGGAGACGTTATCAGGAGCACAGAGTGGTGTAACAACAGAGAACTCGGGAATAACTTACACCGATTCGATACGTTTGCGCTCTGGAGATATCTACTTGGGGCACGTTTCACCGTCTTCGAGCGTTGTCTTGGGATTTATTACACCATGCTTTTTCAGAGTCGTGCCTTTCACTTTGGCCCTACCCAATGTGGGGGCCGTATCAGGCTCGTGGGCTCTAGCCAGTCCATGATGGATTCGATGAAACTTTAATAGTCTACGGAGTAAAGGAAAAACATCAGTTAGAGTATAATAAAGTAAGCCTTCACTTCGGCTTTGCAATTTATTGGTAGAACATTCAAATAAAACGTAACACGCTTTCAAAATCATCATAACAACCATCAAAATATTTATTATATTATTACCAGACCGAACAGACGTTATCCTGCACACACGACTTAAATCCGACTACAACTTAAAAAAGAAAAAAAATGTGAATCTAAACCATTCTCGAATCGACCCTAAGCCATTTGGGAGGAGTTCAGTGACATACACACGCACAGAAGACTTATATACATATATAAAGATGTAGGTATATATTCAATAGAAAATTCTATCAAAGTTAATAATAATAATGATAACGGACACATCTTTTACACAACGTTGTCTAGTCCCAAACTAAGCAAAGCTCGTACTATTGGTACTAGATAAACAGTTGTTCAGCCAGTAGATGGACATACTCGTAATCCTTTAAGATACTTGAACTATTTCAATAACAATACTTAAGTTTTTATTGTGCTGGCTATAATCCCAGTAATACTACCATCTTATTTTTATACTCATTTGAATATTACCTTCCTAATAACTCATCCATTACTTTAATTCGTTGTGTGGTTAAGATAATGCATGCTTCATGATCCACTACATGTTTAATCTTTTATTTGGGGTAAAATAATCAACTCGTCATAATCTCAAAGGAAATAATAATGAAGACAAATATAATAAGCATCATACTCGGAAATTTTCAAACTCATACGGAATATTAGTATCTTTTTAAATATGCTCTATTAATTGGGTACACTGTGCATTACCGTATTAAATTACCCCATCTATTTTTGTAGGAACGCCTTTTAACATTCCCGCGCTATCGTCCGCCGGGATAAACACTAGCTTTGATGCCCCGGCGTTCCTCCGATAGTGTTCGTACTTCGTATCCTACGTAGAGTGACCATAAATCTTACCAGACAATGTTTCAGTTTCACTTTCAATATATTTTTTAATTACATACTCTACTCCGTGGTTGTCTGCCATCCACTATAGGTCTCTGGTTGTAAACGCTTAGTAAAATCCAAATCACTCTTGCTTTGAAGGGACATTGAAGAATAAAAAGCGTTAACACGCCACGCC